GAACGGAAACTACGAATTCCCAGTCCCGCTAGGCAGATGAAAGGATTGTTATGTTCATGTCATTTAAGCTTGCAGATATAGAGACCAGGTACTCAAATTCTGAGAGAGAAGCTCTAATGGTCATTCATTGTTTGGCAGAGGTCGGATGGATGGTTATGGCTTCCCCTTATCTAGTTCTTGTGTACAATGACCATGAAGCCTTAAAGACTTTATTGACCGGATTTGGATAATGATGTTCACGGTAGAATAGCTAAGTGGCAGGAAAGGTTAGGGGAATATGAGTTTCGCTTGATTCATCGACCGGCTATGACACATTTTATTGGCATCATGGATGGACTTTCCCAATTACCAACTCGTTTGATGTGGAGACATACATCTGAGGATAGTGAAGGTTGACGGTCAGCAATTCATGTTATTGTGCTTGTGAAGGGTCTAGCTACTGATGTTCCAGTTACTTCAGTAATCCCAACACAGTTGCGAGAGTACTGAAAGTTCTAGAATATGGGGAGTTGCCTGAGTCAGGATAAGAGGATGAGAAAGCGACATAAGAGTTGGGTGAATAAAGAAATATATGCAGTACAGGAAGCAGTGGTGGGAGAGAATGCTGGGATTGATGGAGGATTGAAGGAGGCTGCAACGGATATGAGGAGAAGACGATGAAAAGTTTAGCTAGAATCAAGGATGTATAGGGCTGTTGTACAGGGGAGACTAGATGAACTAGACTTTGGAATGATAGAAGCTGGAGAGATGAGATTGGGAAGGAATGAGAGAAGGGTGTTGGAGAGGTCGATGTGAAGGTATGTATTAGTGGATGGGCCAGAACCTAAGCTTTTCTTTCGGGAAAAGAATAAGCACTTAGCATGTTGTATGTTGGAGAAGGACGTGAAAAGGGTGCTTGGTGATTTACATGAAGGTCATGGACAATTTGCAACTAGTGTTACTATCGGCCGAGCACATGGAAAGGTCTACTGGCCATCTTGCTTGAAGAATATCGCACAATGGGTTGCCTCTTGTGAAGCCTGTCAGCAGGTTACGAAAATTCAGAAAGCCGAGGTTATTCAACCTAAGCTACAGTTTCAGCCTATAGACATGATTGGGATAGATTATGTGGGACCTATTAATCCACCATGCAAAGCAACTGGGAATCTCTATATTCTTCTCGTGATTAACTACTTTTCTCGATTTCTTTGGGCAGTTGGGGTATAGAAAGCAGACCAAATCTCGACTATGAAAGCCCTATTGGATCATGTTATTCCAAACTTTAGATGACCGCTATCTATGTATACTGATAATGGAAACCATTTTACCAGAGCGATGATTTCTCAAATGTGGACAGATTACGGTGTCCTTAGGTTTACTTTAGCGATTTCACATCCGCAATCAGTGGGACTTAGTGAACTCTACGTTCAAATGCTTATGGGACGTATCAGACTTTACTGCATTGCTGACGCTTCTTCTCGCTACTGGGAATTACACATTGGAAATGCCGTTCTCAGTATCAACACTCAATACATCCACTTACATGGCTATACTCCAGCAGAAATTCTTCTGGGCTTTAATCCTTCAAACATGGGAAAATCAGATGATAGCATGTCCGATTGGTTAAAAAGAACTCAACCTGCAGTACCAGACCCACCAATTCTCTTTGAAGAACAAATACACTTATACCTAAATCAGCTAGATGAACACGGGAGTGAGGCTGGAGAGAAGTTAGCCCAAGCATAGGAAAAGGTCAACCCATGGATGACAGCTGGATACAAGCAGCCACAGCCAGGAGATCTAGTTCTTCTTTGAGACTTCCAGCTTGCAAAAGACAAAGGATGCAAGCTGGAACCTAGATGGTCAACACCGAGAATCTTGGAAAGGGTTTCAAAGTCTGGAGTCAGTGCACATGTCCGGCAATTACATGACCCAACTCATATAACAAAGTGGTTTCACTTCAACAATCTTCTTCTCTATATACCGCGGACAGAAGACTATCCTATGCCAGAAACATCGCATACAGTGACTTGTGGTCAAGGACTTGGAATAGAATATGTACGAGGAGTGATGGGGGCTATTGAGGGAGTTGAGACATTAGGGCAAAGAGTGTTTGATGTTTCTGATATTGGTAGTTGTTTTAGGTAGTAGCGCAAGCTTTTGGCAGCAGTGATGTTTTTCTGATTTCATACAAATTGTTTAGGAGGAGATTACACATCTCGGTCGATGTTATTGCAAAGCCGGGTGCTTCTGTAGACAGAAAAATTGCACGATGATTTTTATTCTTAGTATGGTTCCAGAAGAGATGAAGCTGACCCACTTTTCACATGGAAAATGTGACAATTTTGAGAGTAACGGCAACCATAATGCTTGTATTTTTGTCTTGTCATGAATGGGTGGTTTGCTTCTCCAGATAGACTACAGGAGTTTGAGAGACAGTCAATAATGTTGCCTGATGGTCAGTTGAAGGGTCTACAAATGGTTTTGCAAGATAGAGGTCTTTGCCTGTCTGGATGTAGGTTTCTAGCACAATGTTCAATTCCTGGAGATGGTCCTGGAACTACTAAGCTCAATCCAGCCTGCAAATATGTATGCCAGAGCACATTGTGACTATACATTTCCAAAACTGGTTAGAGTAGTTCCAGAGGTACTTGAGCATGTTTTAAATAAGCTGATATATAAGTATTATCAGCGGATACTCAGAATGATGGAGGCATATAGAAATAATATGGTGTACAGCTCAGAGGACTTCAAGAGACATGCATTTACATGTTATTCTTCACACAGGTGGATTGCTGAGTCTCAACTTCATGTATCATAAAGGCTTTCTTTTATTTTTTACTCTTTTTCACCGGAGCCTTCCTGTATCTATAATAGGGTGAAATTACAATTTTTATCTTAATTCCTTTCAAGCTTAATAATATTATTATATCATATAAGAACAATTCTACTAAATAATTATAGGGTAAGGGGAGTTTATTTTTTATTTTTATAGTTTAAACCTCTTGGCAATAAGAAAAAGATGTCATGCCAAGACAAAAAAACAAGTATTACAGTTGCTGTTACTCTCAAAATTGTCACATTTTTTATGTGAAAAGTGGGTCAACTTCTAGTCTTCTGGAACCATATACTATTGCTTTCAGTTAGAGTTCCTGAAAGTAATCAGAGTTGGCGAGAGTGTAACTGTTGTGTAAAGTATCGTGGAGGAACAGTTTTTACAGGACTGTGTTTTTTCACACACCTTAAACTTATATAAGAGGAGGTGGGAAACACCTTGGGAATATTATCAGTGATTGGTTGAACAAGCAACATCCCTGCATCACTAAGACTTGGATTTCGCGAATTGTGTTTATTATTTTTATTTCTTGTGCGATTTAGTTACTTTGAACTCTCTACTCTATATACTGCTTACAAGCTATACTTGATCCACCTGAGTGCATATTACCTAAACCTTTGCATATTTCTTTGTGCTAAGAAAGAGTTGAACCCCTACATATTGGGGTACTCTGGAAGTAAGGTGTTGTTTTTGTGGTAATAAGTAACCCTTTTGTGTGAAATAGATTGGGGACCCACGATTTCGTTTTTCAGTACGGACCCGTACCAGAGTCTCATAGTAGTACTGACGGCATGAAGGTGAGGATCCCAGGCGAAGCTATGATTAGACTAGCTGGACGAGGTTCACAACAACCAACCCCTCAACGGGCAGCGTTCTTGTGATACTATCGTATTATTTCGCAAATAACGTACAAGCCCGGACTCGGCGTGCATGAGAACTATGATATGAGATATAAGTGGTGCTTGGTCCCTGGAGAACCCAATCAGTCAACCCCCATGTAACCTAGTTCTATTAGGGAGGTTTTTCGTACTACGACAGTCCTAGCTTGAATTTTCCTTATCACCACAGCAATGGTACTACCGTACCTTTCTACATCTGCGATAGCGCTCGGTGGCTCAAATTTGCAGTCTTAAGAACAGCTCTCAAATAAGGCGGTCGTGAAGGGTTTGTGTTTATGCTTTTGTTTACGGAAAATTGGCGAAAACTTCTCGACCCACACCAAGTTTTGTGCTCGGACTGTGCTTAGCAAAACTTCAGTGTTCTGACCTTGTTGCAACGTGACATTGGCCGACACCACCGTCTACTCGTAGTTCACAAAAATTTTAGAAGTTGATGTCATAGACTCACTAAGTCGTTGAAATCAATCGTTCAAATCTCATAGTTCTCATGCATACCCATTTATTATTTGCGAAATAATACGGTGTTATGGTTCAGTTCCATATTGGTAACACAAGGAACAGCGAGTTATCATAAATATCGGCCGCTATCTAACCATCAATCAATTAGATCAATCCAAGACACACACCACCAACCACTGCAGTATTCATGCAAGTCCCTGCCGAGGTCCTGCACCACCTGCCACTACGGCTGCCGCCGCCAAAGGCAAGACAGATATTGGGTTCGAAGGTGTAACACATATATGGTATTTACGAGTACCTCGAGTAAAGTACAGGTGCATTTGTTGATTAGACGAGAAGCGAAGGCTGGAGGGTGATAGGAGAAGGGAGAAGGCGGAATAGAGTAAGAGGATACGTTGGCACGTGACTTCGCTTATCACAATCGCACTCTACGAGTACAGTACTGTACCTTACCCAGCTGCAATGCACTTGTCCGCTACCGGTACGATACTCTAGTATTTAAATTAACCACGCGATTCGCTTGCCCGTGGTCCCGGTTGGCGGTGTAGTTTACCCGACATTCAGCCACACTTATATTAGCAGATCGCCTTTCTCACCTCAACCAACTCAACCCCAACTCAACCCCACACCCACTCCACCACTGGGGAAGAACCAACCGGTTGACCCACTGATATCATCATCAACCAGGCATAACGCAACAATGCTTAGCATTATGACTCGCAGCCGCCTCTTGCACCCCCTTATTCCCTTGCGTTTTAGCACAAACACACGCCCGTACATGACTAGCATCGCGATACTCCACCAAACGCTTCCACCACCCGTTATCAATGGCTCATTCAAACCACCAAAGCCCGGGGGTTTCTCCTCCTCCCCTCCCGCACAGCACACACCCTGCGTTTACAATCCACCGACTGACGCATACAAAATCAGGTTACAGAGACGCATGCGCGGACATCGCCTACGCAGTACATTCACTAAACGACCCAAACACAAACATAATAACTCCGCAACCTCATCCAAACCCGGCTACCGAGATCGACTGGTCGTTCCCGGATACCCGACGTGGTATCCTAGCTGCTATAGCCGCGGGAGCAAACACCATCTGGGCAAACACCTGTCTGTTTGCTGATCATCCGCTCACCACCGTCTCCCTCCCGCCCAGCACAAAGCTAATCGCGAACCCACCAAGAGTGGTACATGCTGTTGACGATAAGGCTTTCACGAACAAGCTGCTCCAACGCCACGGATTTTCCATACCAAAGAGCTGGCTATTGGAAGGCGACTCGGGGCGGTCTATCGAGCTGTTGAGCCAGCTGATATACGATCTCCCATATCCCGTCATCGTCAAACCCGTCCGTGGCAGGGGCAGTGAGGGGGTGCAATTGATAGATGGGTTTGTCAGCATGTTGGATACCCTTGATGACCTTTTCAAGACCTACGATGTCCTCCTCATAGAGGAGTTTTTGGAAGGAGAGGAGGGGACCGTGACCGTCGTGCCCGATGGCCAGGGGAGGTTTGTCGCCTTGCCGATCGTGCAGCGATTCGGTCAGGTTGCCGGAGTGATGCCGTGGAACGGGCACGTACCTGTTACCACTAATTCTACTGTCTTGCCCGTGGGGGAGGAAGATTTGTGGCATCGAGCTGCTAAGATAGAGTGCCAAAAGGCTGCAGAGTTACTCAAGCTTACTAGCATTACTAGGATTGACATTCGCAGGAAGGACGAGAATGGCGGAAAATTCTTTCTGTTTGACGTCAATCCTAAACCTGTACCCCCCACCCCTCCAAATTAACCCCTCTTTTTTTTTGTGATCTGATTTGTGAGTTAATACGTCCAGAATCTCACCGGCACCGGTCGCCCAGGTCGTGATAGCCAGGATAGTCTCTGCGCTATGGCTGCTAGAGAATTTGGATGGGAGTATCCGGCATTAGTGAGAAAGTGTATTGATGCTGCCTACCCTTTGAAAGAGGCTCGCGCAATTGAGCCGCCGGAGGCGGTGACTGGGAGTTTGGATAACTTTACAGTTTGGGAAAGATGGGGTTGAAAGGGGAAGAATGGGGCCGCTGATGATAGTGATGGGGAGGCAAAATAGTTGTAAATGAATAGGGGGCTAGATCGAATTGGTCGATTCGACATGATTCCTTTATGGTGAGGCACATATTGATGGAATAGTGTTGCAGTGTTGCGTTTCTGAGCTACGCGGTGAGTCAACTGAGGGGACAACATAAACACCACGCCATATTCCCCCAACCCCGCTAACATCTATCGCCCATAACGCAATAAGAGGGTCGCCCGCATCTACCAACGTTCAACAGTATAACTAGCTGTATCCCAGCTTCTGGAGCCCATCTGGCATAGCCTAGCCGGGGTCTGTTAAACCAGTATTGCCGGTCTAGTATTTCAGGAATGATGGTTGGTATTGCGGATTGGGTGTTTGGATTGGGAATGGGGACTGATGCAAGAACGAATATCGAAATCTAATGGCCATGCTAGACCCGGATGTTTGTGCATTATGCATGTATTTCTTAGCATTACAATTGTCGGTAGGGTGAATAATTGAACAAGATGCAATTTAAGCTCGACTCAAATTTTGGGTTCCTAGCTGGACTGCAGGTATGATATCTGCAGGTTTCCGGGTGACCGTGCATGATTGCTCTGATTTTCACACAATATTATCAGGGAATTGTATATATATTGACTTAGATTGGGCGGAGCACGAACGTACGCACCAACAGCACCTGACCCTACATGATTATACTGGCGTTATATGTTATCTCCATCACAATAGCTCATGGCCCAGGGTGTTAAATGGCCGCTTGGTGCGGAACTGTGGGGAACTCTGGAGTGCAGACTTGAATTCTCGCGCACCTAACCTGGTAATCAGGACTAAGGAAGGGAGAAATGGTTTGCTATGCGGAACGACCAGGGCGAAAAGTGTTTGTAGAAATACCTAGTGGAGAAGAGGACGCAAGGAAACGTATTAGGGATTTGGAACGCGCGGGGGCGTTCGAGTGGGGTGGTGAGATAAAATAGCTCGATAACCCGACATCAACCGATCGTGGGAACAATCCGTCAACACGATAGGAATATACCGAGTGATATTATAGGGGGGGTTTTCCGGCATCCCCAAATGCCTTGAAACTATTGGAATGTCTTTGAATTTTCCCCGTGGTATGTTTCGGTCCAGTGCTGGAAGAAGAAGTCTTCTGATATCCGCTAACTCGACCATTTACAGGGTGTTTGTGGACCGCATGGCATATGCCGCCGCCGCCGGGTAGGAATATCCATGGAGTCCGCAGGTTTTGGCAAATTCGGGTTTAGATAGCCCAGCTTACTCTCACTTTGGCAGGGCTGGATGGACTCCTCATCTGTAGATTATCTATCTTCAATGCTGGCCACTCGCTTGCCAGTATTGGTCCCACCGGGTGATTTGTGTTCCCGGGCTCCGGTGGTACACTAACGGAGGTATTGGTAGGGAATTTGGATAGATACGCTAGATTCCTCGTGGTCTATTTGACTTCACTGTGATCCACTCTGTACGAGTACTTCCCGGTCATCCATTAATCCAAGAAATTAATTGAGAGCACTGGACTATCACCCACTATGTTTCCAGGAGCCCACAATATTGTCTTGCATATCATAAATCCTATGGTCCAAATACCGCCCATTATGGACTTCCTGCCAACCCCTAAAGTCTCTCTCACCTCCCTATGGCCTCAACCGACTACGAGGTGGGATTCAGCCCCGGAGTTGGGTTTCCCTTCTCTTGCTTGCAGGTATCTGCGCTGAGACTTCGGCTTTATGTTACTGGGGGGCCCCGTGGGTGCTCTCCTCGATTCAGGAGTGCTGCGGGATAGCCAGTGCTGGTGAGTTGGCTTCCTTTGTTGTAATGCTCTTTAGGACACATATTGGTTCGTTGGTGAGTTTAGCTGGGTATATTTTATTGGACCATAGTCCCCGTCTATGGTGCCCGGTATTGTCAAACCTCCGTAGATAGGGTCTAGCAGCCATCGCGGAATCCTACAGTCCGCCGCACAACACAACTCGACCTATTTCATACGGCGCTCCATCATTCTGCCAAGCGCGGCTCCCCCGAAGTCTCCCTACTCCCCTTCCGGTTCCCATAAGGCCCCAGACTGTTTGGAACAGTGGGACCAGACACCAGGAAGTGACACCCGGCGCAATATGATAAACCAGGCAAGAGAGGAACCTTGATTAGCCTGATGGAACCCGGACCCATTGAAAGGTTTGATCCTCCGGCATGGAGAAGTTGATTTGGCAACATTCAAATAAGTGAATCTAGCACAAATGGCCTAAGATAACATTGGCGGGGGGTTAAACAGAATAAACAAGTGTTTCTGCTATCTTAAAAGATTTCTTTGTACCTTTTTGCTTGATTGTTGAGGAAGTGGCTCTCTATACCAGAGGTGGGTGTGTATTGTAGGACGAAATACTGTCAAATCTCATAATAATATTCTTATAAAACATAACTTAGTGTATATTTCACATGAATCTCTCGTACATACTGGAAGCAGCCCTTATTAAACAACCGAAATCCCTCAAAGATTCTGGACATTTCCTTAATTTATAATCACAAATTGTTTTTTTTTTTTTTTGTTGGATGATAAATTCCCATGATCCCTCTGCTCTGATATAATCAGCAATATATTTTTATTTGTATCGGAAGCTGCTGATACGCCTCTAATAAGGTATGATACGTTTGCTGCGAAATCAGGAGAGCCAGGACTTTCTTTCTACCTACTAGCTGCACTAATGCATTTTGATATGCATGGCTTTGATGTCTAGTTTGTCCAGACCCGTGCCTAGGAAGCGAGTTCTGGGGTAGGCAGGGACATAGTAGTCTTGTAAGTCCATCGGGGCTGTCCACGGAGGAGGAGCTTTGGTCATGAGTTTATGAATGACTTGGCGACCTTAGTGGTGCCTACTTTGGGATTGACTATGTACAGCGGGGACACAGCCAGCGTCGGACCAAGGAATTGGTGGGGGGAGTAGGTGGTTGGAGATATTGGAATCTGTTGTGGAAGGCGGGGGGCTTGTTGGAAATCGTCGATACTGTTCGACATGCTCGGGAGCGGTGCGACATGTGCGGAAAGTGTTCGTGGTGGTTCGTGATGCTCAGGGCCTGTCCGGCGTGTTTGGAAGCCATTTAATGTTCTGAACATCATCGATATGCTCTGAATTGGCTGATACATCGCAGGAAGTTCGTTCTGTTGTTTTTCGTTTGTTCAGATGGTGGTTTCGGCGATGTGCTTTGGAGAAGCGCACCCGTGGAAGGGAAACACCATCCCAGCTGAAGGAGGACGGAAGAGTTCAAGTGATTGTGCGGAGGTGAGGTGATAAACCGTGGGAATCTTTGCGGTGCCAATCTTTTCTTCTGCTTGCATGGGAGAGAACGCAGAAAAAAGAGTCTTGGGTGGAAGTTGGGTGGAAGTGAATGGAGATATGTCGTAATCGGTGGAAGCGTGGAGGACGATCATATCGCGATTGATTTATAGGCTCCATCTTTGCTGTTTTTTTAGTTAGCCGTGCAGGATGATCGGGCGCGTTGTTGAGTGCGTTGAATAAAGAACTTCCCCACTCTTCTCCTTAAGTCACGTTGTGAGCGATGAGTGCTCTTAGTCTTACTAAGCGTAGTTTCGTTTCGGTCCTTCGCCTGTTCCGCCTCTCCCAAATCTCCCCATGTGGTGACCCCGCCATGCGTCTGGTTTTTGAACATTCAATTCATGGGATAACCTCGTCAAGTTCCGGAAATGCAAACCATCTTCCTCCGTGCTAGTCCCGCTCTCACACTACTCGTGAAACAGCTAACCCGGAAGAGGTTCTAGCGCACTGAGTTTCAACGGGCCATCTGCACTGTTCTATCCTGGTATGGTGAGGAAGCGAATACGGTAGTGGTGTCAATCAACATTGCACTTAACAAGGGGCCGCGAATAAGAAGATTTTACACAGCAGTGGTTTTCGAAACGGTGGCAAACCTGCGAAACGGCGAAACGGCGAAACGAAACTAAATGGTTCTTGGTCAGTTAGGGCAACTATGAAACTCTGTTTTGGAAAAAAAAAGGAAAGTTCTCTCATTCCTGACACTCTCAATGCTCGCAACTTATCACTAACTCAACTAACAGTAAAGACATGGACCATGACAAAAGCTACCCCGATATCCTTCCACCGCTCACTACACATGCCCTCACTTCTTCACTGTTCCGTATACGTCCCCGCAAGTCCCCCATCCCTCATGCGCATTCCCGCGCTGGCGTGGGGATAGCTTCTCTCTCTCTTAAAAAAAATCCCCCCCAGTTCGTAGCATCTACTAGGCTCACTACGATCCTCTCCGTCTCTTTGACACTGCCGTGCGACTTCTAGGGATTTCTCCTACGCATGAGATATGGCGAGCGAGCGAACGAACGGAGAGGAACCACAAACAGCAGAGACGAAGCGTGACCGAGCCAACGAAGAACGGCGTCAATGACCGGTGAATATAAAGACGCTCAGCTTTATGCGCAGCCAGCCAGCTTTGTGAGCATGCCGACCAGCATCCATGATTCTCAACAGAAAATGCAGATTATGGTTAGTCGTGCCAGTGTTCTCGGTCAAACAGCCAAAGCAAGGCTTGGACCGTGGGGAGTAGAACCTTCGGCGCGGTTGTGCTGTACTCGAGTACAGTGCTCGTACATCCCGCCGTGGGAAAAATTGGAAAATTACGAAAATGTTTTTCGGGGGTTTGACTGGACAATTTAGTGTGCCCAAGCCAATTGAGCAATCGTGTTTCCAAGATTTCATTTCCACATTTTCCGATTTTTTTTTTACCACGGGCCGTACTTGTACTGTACGAGTACGATACAGTACCGGCACTACTCGTACCAGGCAAGAAGTACTAGTACTCGTACAGTACTGTACAAGTACCCGGAAACAGGGGGTCGATTTTGTATGGGCATTCCGACACGCAGGGAAATACTTGTACATTTATTGGTGGGGTTTGAATAGAGACGGTGCCTATAGATTAGCGGTAGATGAAAAGTTAACTTC